TGAATGGACATGCCACAATCCCTTCTCCTCCATTTTCCTCTCGGGATCTTGGGCACGCTCTCATACGCACCTGGTGTGAGTTTAAGCCACCAGGTCCGAGACGCGAACCGCGGTCGACTATGTGGGAGTCCAGTGACATAGCCATTACGCTAACTGCTGGTCCCCTAAAATGGTATCATCTTAAAGGTTGCTTTCAAAGGAAGAAAATGCCAACCTTTAGTTGTGTTTAGAGCCTAAAGAATGTAAATGATACCACAGGTTAGTATTATCAAGTAGGTATTTATTTACTTCCTGTTTGCCTGGATATCAGGTTGGTAAAACTTTCGGAGCAGGATCCCAGTAGGTTGTTTGGTGTCATTAGAAGGGGAGTGGGAAAATGGTGACTGCTAGTCCACTTGGCTCGAGTTTCAGTTCTCATAATCTGTCTGTCTTGATTTTAATGGATTGGAACATTGTAAACACTGTACTTGTTTGTATAACGCTCTATTTAACTATGTAATTATTTTATTTCCTGAAACTTAAGACCAAATTAATATGATGGGAAAGTTATTTAGAAGTTTGGAATCTGAGGGTGGCTATGAAGCCACATTTGCTAGCCAGTGGTTTCATTCCTGTCTTTCAAGTAAATCCTGGATTTGATTTCTACATATATTTTGTTACAAAATCAATTTCTTCCTTTTGCTGTCATCTGGGGAGACATGTCTGCTAATTATCTATAGCTTCTGCTTATCCTGGATAGTAGGAAACTTCAACATCTCTAGCAGAAGGAAAATAGAAAGCAGACTTTTCATTAAAAGGTTACTGTTAAAAACAGTCCATGTAAGAGTCAGCGGGGGCACAGAGATGAAGACAGCTGGATCCTATATGGTTGACTCCATGGTTCAAGTCCTGGACCTGGCGGCTTGGAAGTCACTCTGGGTGTGCATGTATGTGGGCCCAAAATCCTGAGAGGAAAATAGAGAAGGGATTGTGATGTGGCCTATAATAAAAACCTTTAAAAAATTGTGTAGGTAGGTATGGACTTGGGGATACAGAAGCCAGTGCAAAGGAAGAAGAATGTTTCTGTGGCACTCTTCAGTATGCACTGTGCTCTGTATGTGGAAATACAAGTTTTCTGAACAAACGTATGCAAGTTTATCCAATACCAGCAGGCTGTGAAGACTGCTAGTGTAGCCCGCTCACTGTCCTGCATCCTCTATTGCTACATTGACAGATGTCTGAAGGTAGAAACGGTAGGCTGCAGAGGGCAAGCGGAATGCCTCCAGTTAGGATGGTCAGGCCAGCTACTTCTTACTATGTGGTGCACCTAACCACGTCATGATAGTCGGAACATTAAGAACAAAAACAAAACTTTCCTGGTATTGTTACATTTATAACTATGTTGTTACGAGAACAGGTGAGGTATTTAAAAATGAAAATGACCCGGGGCCAGCAGGTGGCATGGTGGTTATGGTGTTAGAGTCCCACATGGCCTACCATGGTTGAAGCCCCACACTCAGTGGCTTGAAAACCACACTGGGTGCATGTGCATGTGTGCCCAAAATCCCAAGAGGAGAAGGGATTGTGGTGTGGCCATCCCCCCGGAGGAGGGGTGGGATATCTCACTTTCCCTCTCTATGCCTCTCCTCCAAATGCATGTGCCCTATGTCAAAAGCCTTAAAAAAAAAAAAAAAAAGAAAGAAAGAAAGAAAGAAAAAGGAGAGAAAAAAGAAAGAAAGAAAGAAAAAGAAAAAGGAGAGAAGATGATGATTTTAGAAACAACTGAAAGGTTAGGTAATAAATGTGAAAGTGGGGAAAGCACAGCCTTTGCAGTCAGAAAGGCTCAATTCAAATGGTATGTATCTTCCGTGGTTAATACCTGGGTCTTTATGGAGAAGGTTGTCTGTGTCTCTGACCCTTTTTCTCTTTTGTCAAATTGTGTATATGGCGTTTATGAAGGAGTAAGGGGGAAACAATGGTATTTGCATTGAGGTTTTGCAAAAAAAAAAAAAAAAAATTATTATGTAGG